GATTTTCGTGAAACTCGGTATCCGGGGGTACTTTTCGACGGGAAACTCGAATTTTTGGTCAGATTTTCAAAATTTCCAAATCCAAAAGATGGCGGCCGTGGCCTAAAATGCTAAGTCGGCTCCTGTTATATCGATTTTCGTGAAACTCGGTATCCAGTGGTATTTTTTGACGAGAAACTCGAATTTTTGGTCAGATTTTCAAAATTTCCAAATCCAAGTAGGCGGCCGTGGCCTGAAATGCTAAGTCGGCTCCTGTTATATCGATTTTCGTGAAACTCAGTATCCAGTGGTATTTTTCGACGAGAAACTCGAATTTTTGGTTAGATTTTCAAAATTTCAAAATCCAAGATGGCGGCCGTGGCCTAAAATGCTATATCGCTTCCTGATATCGATCGATTTTTATGAAATTCGGTATTAGGAGGTGTATTTCGACGGAAAACTCGCATTTTTGGTCAGATTTTCAACATTTCCAAATCCAAGATGGCGGCCCTGCACGAAAACGCGGTCCGGACTCTTAGAACATCAATTTCTGTAAAAATTGGTGAAAAAGAAGATTAAGACATAGATGTTGTCTCCTCATTAATGTTAAAAACTGTGCGGGGCGGTGGCGACTCGCGGAGCGAGTCGCAAGTTCGTCGCGAAGCGTTGAACTGGGGTCCAGGGGCACTCCCCGGCTAGACGTGTCAGCTCGCAAAGCGACTAGTTTCTAATACACTCATGTGACCTGATGTGATTATGCATATGAATTCATGCCTCTTTCGTTTCAGCAAAAAAAAATTCTGCAGTTTCCGAAATATTCAGTCTGATGGTTTTGGATGAAAACATGAGCATAACAGTACCGTAACCTGTGACTTTGTGTACGCATCTAACAACTGGAAGATTTTAGATGTAGTTTGGCAGTGATGCAGAATGTAACTCTGAATAAGGGAAGTTACGTCGCCACTCAAAGCTTTGTGGAGCTTTATAAGTAGCTTTTGTAAACTCTCAGGCGTGTTATTTTGAAAAGTTTCAGCTTACATTAAATTCTTCGCACGAAGAATTTAAGGACTCCTAGAATTTGATTTTCGTTGAGGTTCTAGATTCTCATCGGAGAATTAGGTTATTTTGCAAAAATCAGGAAATTGTAAAAAAAACACGTCATCTAACCAAAGTGTTGCAACGGGTGAAAAAAAATAACGCTCTCGGAAAAAAAGCATTCACGAAAAGAAGGAGAAGAATTTTTTTATCTCATAGAAAATATTTATCGTGCTCACAAATCCTTAATTTCAAAAGTTTTGTATTATTTTTTGTAAATTTCTAAAAGGCCTTTAGCAATATAGTCGTAAATAAGCTAAATGAAATAGTAGTGCACGAAAATCCTAAACATATCAGATTTTTCGTTAGCGTCCTGCACGTAGAAACTATTCGGTGGAAAGTGAGAACTGCGATAACTCATTTTGATTAACTCGTAAGGAAATATCTTTCAATTACATTTGCACACCTGAAGCCCCGAGCCAGCTCAAACAAGTCACGCGACCACTTGTTACTTGTTACACAGCAGCCGCAGAAACATTCTGCGCAAAAAATCAATTCCAAGCCGTGCACGCAATTTGGACCCTCAAGTCAGTAATACGTCGTTGCGACTCGTCTCAAACCATGGTTTTCAGGGCGTAGAAAAATACTTTGAACCAGCCGTTGACTGATTTTGTGAAGTGGAACGAGAAGGCCATACTTAGGATCAACCCTCAGAGAATGGCGAAAAAGTTGCTTTTAAATAAAACTGACTTTTTCCTTGGAAGGGACATTTTTACAGAAGTTTCCAATCAAATACACAAAGATACATTTTCAACTGGCGCTCTCTACGTTTTATGGGGCTAAGGCGTTTAATTGTTATCAAATATTCTAAAAAAGCACCTCTAGCCCGGCCGGTGTCTCCAATCGCCAACAGTTTTTCGTCTTTTTCCCCCTAGGATTTTCCCCTCTTTTAAAGCAACACGAGTGACTCAATCAGCCCTTGAAGCTACGGTCCACCGGAAAATTCCTGAATTTTCCGTTGTTTTCCTGAATCCTGTGTTACCAGTCCTCAACTGCTTTATTTGAAATTAAACCAGCATTTTAGTGCTTTCAGCCCTTGAAGAAACATATTGAAAGGATTTCGTCCCTGATAAACCAAAAGTTAATCCAGTGACGTCAAGGAAATGACTTTTGGGAACCCTTGACATTTTAGAGGGACTACCCTGGAAAAGAGCAAGAGCCTTGGAGGTCAAAGCTAGATGGTTCGAGACTTTTGGAACCGCCCTCATACGAAAAATCGAGTGACGTTGCGACTGAAACGAAACTTGGAGAATGTGGTAATACGGAATTGGGCAGATTTTCCTTACCTGAACGTCGAGCTCGAATCCAGGGAGATAGCTAAGAGGCACGGGGTGAAACGGATTGTCGTAAGGCGAAGTATGGAATTCGAGGAGCATGTCCGGGCCGCTGCTGATGATGTCGGGTACGGCATCGCCGCCGCACAAGCGCACCAACACCGGGTCCATCGTGCTCCCACCGTCGTATACGGTCAGGTAGTCCTGCACAACGTTGCATTCGTCCCAAACCCTGCTCAAAGAAAATAAAGAGGATATTTTTAATTTTTAATCTGATTAACTTAGAGCTGAAAAATGTAAGAAGGAAAATTTAATACATGCTTAAAGCCCAGCGGGTTGATTGTTGAAATTGGTAGACACAGTTATAGAGAAAGAAGACTAAAAGGATATGGAGGGATATTGGTGGAAGCGAGAGGTTGCAAGTGACAAAGGAGGAAGGCAAACAGACTAACTAACGGTAACTCACGAGTAACCATTTAGTCAGTCCATCATTTTCCCCTTTGGTTATAAAATTCACCCAAATTAACAAATAGGATCGCTCCATACTCATTATGTCCTCTTTGTCTATCGCTTTGTCTATACATTTCAACAATCAGCCCCAGGCGAGGTGCGGATGTAGGCATAAAGGTAAATATTTTCTCATAAAAAATTTACAATGAACACGATTTGTACAAAAAAAAATACTGAAAGTAACTCTGATTTAAGATATTAAAGTTTTTCGATGTATGAATTTAAACTTCCTGCGCTCATAGAAAAACAATTAGGCTCCCTCTAAGCTGCCGGTAATGTGTCGCTCCGATTTGAGAGAAAACTCAAAACCGGGGTCGGATTACGTCTCTGTAGATTAATACTCATAAACCATGCAGATAAAAACCTATATGGAAACAGAAAAAGGACGGGCGTTGATGACGGCGCGGCGCAGGGATACAACTATTCGTGCTTGATGGATGCCCGTGTTGCGTGTGCAAAATTGAAGGCGCTATGGCGCGAGGCGTGGACTCGTATACGTGAGTTAAATCGCACATCGACATTACTGTGGCAGTCCTTGCGGTATAAAAATATGGATTCCTTTAACTCGGCGTTTTGGTTCAGCTGTTGACTTTCTTTTCCTTCGGTTTCATCCGTGTTCTATCTCAAAATACCCAGGATATGAACAATGTTTGCACGTGAGTTCTTTAACAAGGAAAAAAATAATCAGTGATAAACATGTGTTATGAAATTCAACTTACCGTAAAAGACGTTGACTTCTTTCATATTTTACCATTTGATCTTTTATATGAATTTTGTGGCTATTTCTTTGTCTAACAGCGATTAAAGCTTGTTTGCCTGAAGGCACTTTGTTGTGTTCTAGTCTATAATAGCAGGTAACGTTTCGCGGGTAGATCCCCGGAAAATTCGGTGACTGGACCCTGCAAGGCCTTGTATCACATTTATTCAGTTGTCTAGTGCAGTAGCTACCTTGAACTAACTCTCCTCGGTAGCTTAGTTGACTACTGTTCCCATACCTTAAGTGAGCTTCGTTATATTTTAGGAACTTATACGATAATTTAAAGTCAAAATTATACCCTGAAATACCCTGCAACACAGAGAAACATGAACAGTTAATTAAATATGCTGGACAGGCGAAAAACATTAGACAACTAGCAATTCAACGTAAATAATTATTACTTTTAAGACGTTATTATGTCAGCAGTAATACTTTTATCACCGTCAAATGAACAACATTCCATTCGATCAATCTTCAAGGGGATTTCATTTGCTTAACATCGTGTCCTCTCTCGATTCACGTATTCAAAATATCCAATCCAATTCTCATTGATTAAAATCGTCAGTAAGATTGATAACATTTTCTGGAACGAAAGTTTAGTTTTTATCCAATTTTGGACAAACTTCCATTATATTAGCTTAAGGGCTAATTCTGATGGTTTCAGCTTTTCATTGACAGAGAATCGTACCGCTTTGTAACCCAGGAAAAACTTCAATTAAAAAGCAAGTCTCTGCGTGAAGAAATGAAAATGAGACGGTGCGGTGGTTTGACGTTTCCGCACAACATTTCAGATTTTGAAATTTCCACACAAAAACCACGATTGACATTTCCGCACAAAATCAGTCGGAAGAACTTTATTTTTGTTACATTTGGTGAACAAATTTGAAGCTATCACATCATCAGCTTGTGACCTGATTGTGGTAGCATCAGCTACCACATTCTGAATGTTTTCCACCAATAATCGAAGATTGGCTTCAAACGTAACGTACACTATTTCTTCTTCTTAAAGGTTACTTATTCCCCTTCCTGAGACATTCTATGCATTCGAGGTGGACACAAACACGGTACAGCTCAGGCCAGGACACCTTCCACGAGCCAGATGTAACTTAGGCGGGAAATATTTTGTGCGGAAACGTCAATCACGATCATTGTGTGGCAATGTCAAAATCCCCGATTTCGTGCGGAAAATGCATACTGCCTTTGAGACACAACCAAAAAGAGCGGTTACCTGATCAGAAAGTGTAAATAAATTAAGTGATAAGTTGAGGGATCTCGTTTCGCTGTAGTAAACGGTGTAGCCCCAGGCGCTGCCACACCACTGCCCCTTCGTGTCCGGTCGTCCCTCTTCCCGGATTGTCATGTACCCGTCCGGGCATCCGTCCATCGTGAAGGAGACGAAACGGCCCACGGTGAAAGCGTCGAATGTGAGCTGAACACACAAAAAAACAAAAATAGCATTAGAGAATAGATCACTAAACCATGAGCGAATTTTGACTTGCGAAAACATACTTCTGAAAGCCCATGACGCAAGAAACACGATGTGCACATTAAAAATGCGAAAAAGTAGCTCAGTAACGGAGAATCACGCAATTCAAAAATCCTAACCAGCCGTCTAAGAGATGGGCAAAGCCGGCTTTCATCTCCTGAGGATGATTGAAGAGTTAATGCTGTTTTTAATGATTTGACGAGTCCTTTATTCTTAGTGATTTTAGGCGCTTCAATTTCTACCTTTCCAAAGGCTAATTTAGTTAGAGTCAAAAATTGCGTTCCCTTAAAAGTTCACTCTAAGATACAAAAAATATTGAATTTGCTGGTCCTTATTCGAGATTGTCTGATTATTGACTGCTGCGACCCGATTATTGATACTATGTCAGCCCGACACGACGAGACATAGCCCTATCTTAACCATGTAATATATCGCAATTCGATGTCTTATCGGACCACTTTAAACTTTCAATAATCGGCCCGCTGGTATTATTATTTTGAGTACCAAATTTCACAGATTTTCGAAATGCCTATTTGAAAAAGTGCGCGATGAAAGACGCAGCATGAAGTTCATTAAACACAATTTGAAAACAGTGCAACTGCGAGACGCAGAGGAATAACGCCGACAGGAACAGGAGAAAAAGGACCGCGAAGGAAGTTAATTTCTTATTACAAAGAGTGCGATCAAGACAAACTGAAATTCGCGAATGTTTTCATGAGAAATCTGAATTCATTGAATTCCGCGCCCGAAGAAAAACAAACAATCCGTCCCTCGAATCTGAAAAGTCAAAACTATAGCTCTGCCGAGGCGTTCATTTGCCCGCTCGCGCGTTCGCGAGTTCAAACGCATTCGTCGGCGTTGCCACATCGTCAGCCCATCGCGGAATCGCGGCACGTAGTTAATCGCGAAATCATTACTTTTTTGGCACGCGGAGCCGCGAGTTTGCCCGAGGGGGGAGAGCGAATATTTGCCTCTTTTCGTTTGGGGAGCGGCGGAAAATACTCGAGAGATATTTCACGTCGCCGCTTTGAAGATGCAAAGACTTGGCGGAAAAAGACAGGTATAAATAATTGTGAAGAAGCGAGCCGGACGGCCGGTGTAATAATGGGTTTCCTTCCTTGCCCCGTTTTTCATTCCCAGGGACCAGGAAGGTGGGGGAGGGGGGTGGAGCGGACCTGCGGAGGGGGAAAAAATATGACTGCTTATAATTTTTAGCGGGAGCGCTCATAACTGGGCTTGACGCAGTTATTAGTTTAAGCTCTCGCTCGCTTGTAAGTAATGTTTTACATCGGATTCACTGATTTTAATTAAATACCCCGATCCGGACGGCTGGCCGTCCCTCAGCGCGCGCCACGTCGCGTCGCACAGAGGAAAGGGCCACCGGAGGGATGATTTTTTTACTCCAACTGCAAATCATGATGTATATTTCGTCAAATTATAAATCCTAGGGGTTGATACTTTAGGGAAATTTCACGAATAAACCAGTACGACCTTTTTCCAACGTCTACCCATTCACAAAGATATGAGCTTTTAAAGTTTTCAAATTGTGTCCAAACTTCCTCATCGACTCGCTCTACTGTGTGCCGCGCCGCGGTGAAATCATTGCCTCCTCAAATCCCTGCTGACAAACACATTTTTCAAATACGTGCGCTGGCACAGTCGTCTTTATGTTGCTGGGAATATCAGCTCAAACTTTAAAAACCGCGTAAAAAAGAGAGAAAGAGAAAACATGCTGAAGTAATTGGAAAATATTCTGTGGAACAACTCTATACACTGAACGTGAACACGGAAGAAAGGTAAAAGGATATTAAATCTCTAAATTTAAAAATTTGGCGGTATTAATCCTCATGGAAGAATATGTCTTGTGAATCATAATCCGCGACCAATAGAGATTTACAGAACGTATGTGGTATATTTATAAATCGCTGTTTTTCAATTTTAAAAAACTAAATGTATTGAAAATGTACTTAAAAACTAGAATTGCTAATGTCAATGATTTTATTCATATTTTTTTTTTTATTTTACATTTTACAATGTTTTGTTTAATAGGTAACTGACATTTCTAAAAAAAATTATATTACTAACTAGTCAGCATTAAAATAACGAGACAGTTATTGAAAACCTAGGTCCACCCTCTAATAATTCATTCATTACAATTTTAGTAACGAGAAGGGAATACAGTTCGGCACGGGTGTATTCCTGACTTTTCATCACGCTAATAAGCAATGTGCATTACGATTGCTCGTCAATCTAGTTTTACGCAAATTATAACAAGCTCTGGTCCATTTTAAACATTATTTGAGAGAATGTTCTAAAAGTTCAGTCGCTAGGAGACGCAACGTAACTCCATCAAGTCGCATGTTACTGCGGCGCGCGGTGTCCAGGCTGGGAGAGGCAACTATTCAAGCCTCTGCGAGGAGCGTGTGGTATCGACTGTAAATGAAGGAACTTAGGACACAGAAACTAGAGGCATCGGGTTTACTTTAGGGACTCTTTGAGCTAGCGTTATTTCATGTTCTGAGTTAATCATAAATAATAAATATAATGGAATGTAGAATTTTACTGCTCACTTTTTTAGAGAAGATTGATTTATTATACCTTTATGTAATGCTTCTGATATGCAAGAGCGGAGGAAGATAATCGTTTTTCTGTATTTTATTTTTTTAACGGTAGTGCACTTTCCTTAAAATTGATAGCTGAAATTACGGTGAGGCGAGTTCTTTCTCTCGACCTCCCTCAACTTCTTCGGGAAACTTAAAAACGCGCCTAAATAAAAAAACAGCCGAGCATTTCTCAACTACGAAAGTAAAAGAGTTTTCCCGCTTGCTTTAACCGGCGAATACTTTTTTGGAGGTAAATGGCACGTATAACATGATACGCACATTAAAAACTCGAGAAAGTAACTCGGTAACCGAGAAATATCCGGTTCATAAAGCGCGACTTTTTCGCAAATTTAAAATGCCCCGGTTTCGCGTCGTCGGGCCGAATGATGTCATCCGACACCGATCTAAACTCAGAGGAGAACACGCACGGGTTTCTGGGGCTCCCATTGAATTTCTTTCTACTCCTCGTAGATGGAAACAATAGGAAAGTCAAAACTATACCTCCAGAATTAAAGAATTGAAACTCATTCATGTTGTCAGCAGTTAACAAGCAATACTTCTACATTAAAGCAAATTTTAAAAACGAACAGCAGTGTAAAATGATATGAGGTAACGGCTTGACTACCGCGGTACATCATTTCCATCATTTTCCAGCAATTCCGGCGCGTTTGAAATTCCCTCGAATCTTTTGAATTTTTGGAAGCGGGCGCGTCCGAGATTTTGGCTCGAAAAATACGCAATAAAATAATCACCACGTACTTTCAGAGTATTTCATAGAAAACACAAGGTTTAGCGATTCACCCATTCGGAAATATTGTTGAATCTGGTGCTACAGTTGCAAATCATTGTACGCGAATCAATTCCATGATGTTTTACCAGGTTTCTCCTGCTGCCGCAAAAATTCCTTGAAATTCCCAGTATTCCCGAATTTCCGGTTTGCTAAACACCCTGTTTTTTTCATAGACTTCCCTAATTTATTGAATTTTCCGGAATGTTTAGTACAAATAAAAAGTTATTACGTGCGAAAATATCTAGGTAAAAGTACGTTATCGACCCGAAGCCACGCGAGACCCAGACCTCAACGACCCGCATTATCATAACGTCACTTGGCCGACAAAAGAGCGTAACTGCAATTAGAGTTGAGCCTAGGGAAGCATTGATTTATAGGGGTGACAGAGTTCATCGCGGAGGGCAAATACGTCCTTTACATCAGGAAGCCGACGATAAGGCGTGTTCCGAGTCATTTCGTCGCACCGCCAACCGGAGGGGCGCACGTCCATTTTAACGTGAGCTCTGGAAAGTATTGAGTTATACGGGAAACAAGGTTCATCTCAGAGCTGATTTGCGTCTTTAACGTTGGTGGAGCGACGATTTCCCGCGTCGACTTGTGACGGAGGAAAAGCCAAAGCACACATCCATTAGGAGGAACCCGCCGAAGTGGCGAGAAAAGGGGATCAAAAAGCCCAAGTCGTTTAAATTGAGCAACCCCAAAACCGGGACGGGGGGTAAGTAAACACACACTAAGATATAAAGAATAAAAAATAAAATAAATAAAAAAACACCCAAACCTGGCATTTAAAGAGTTGCCAATTTTCTGAGAAAAATACACACATTTTAGGCATCAGAGAACGATTCCTTCATGGGTTAATTGCATCAATCACAAAATCTTAATTTGAAGATCTCAGATATGGATCAGCAGAAAATTGTCAGATCTGTCCAGACATCAAGTTTTCAATTCCAATATCAACATAGTTGTCGCCTTTTAAAAAAACAACGTTCGACGTCATCCACCACGTTGGTGCATACCATGGTTTCTTCGAGATTGGTTTCATTCGTGTTTTAAGTTAAACAACCGCTGCAGATACATGTATCGCCGATTGATCAATCCTATGTGAAGGTAAACTATGATATGCACCACTGCAATGGAAAACATTATACGACGTGTTTCTTTAAAGGGTATGATATCTCCGTTGATGTAGGATGTAAATCCTTGGTTTTTGGACGAATTGCGTCATTTTCTCCTGATCTATTATTGGAAAGCATAAATACACGATTCCGTTACTCATGGCAAATGACGCGCACACTGCCGAATCTTACTCTATATTATAAAATCACCGCTTAACATGTAATTTTTTTACAAATGATATTTTATACTTTTTATACCTTAAAATTTCAAGGACTTCTTTTATAAAACCGGTATTTTTTGGGTTAAATAAAATACCATCTATTCTATTCTTACAAAATCATGAGAGTAACGCATAACTCATAACCCTGGAGGTGCGAAGCACTTTAGTGAGATGGGCCGCGAAGCGGTCAGGGGGTGTTGTCCCCGATGTATAT